CCAAACGGACAATTGGCTGTTTGACACATACGTAAATGTAGCACATAAATTCACTAGATAAATTACAATACTTAATAGTTCACGTTATTACAATCTACCTCATGTAATCAACCAAGTACCACACTAATTCCTTACCAAAGATGCCTCAGAGTAACGTAATATAGCCATGATTATACCAGGTGAAAATCGTAGTGGGCAATCAAATATGGCGTTCTGAGCAACATAGTGATCAGGTCCGCACAAAATGTACAGGTAGACCAAACGGGCACACATGACGTGGCAAAAAAATGACTAACTGTATAATTAGTCTAATAAAAATACATATTTACCAAATAAAGAATATCGAAAATATCTAGAACAAAAAACTAATACAGTAGATGTAAAACTGATTCAGCAGCTACATGTCTTCTGCTGACCTCGGCAGTTACACTGCCTGTCTGCCTGCCTGTCCGTCCGTCCGTCCGTACATCCATCCGTCCGTCCGTCCGTCCGTCACTCCACTTCTGTCTCAGACGCTTCTTATCTCGTTTCCTCACAACGCAAGCGAACTAGCAGCTGTGAATGAGGATATATTTCTATATTATCAAGAGCTATTATTAAGGTTGTTTGTATTAATCACTTCCATATCACTCGTTCTCCTGCTACCGGCCTGGGAAATAGTTCGCCATTGTACGCGAGTGAAACTTAAAAGTCTATTGATGTCACTTTTAACGCTCACGTGTAACTTGTTATTCATCGGCTATCTTTGTCACAAGGCAACGACCGATCTTTATGGGCAATGTACGAAGAGCCATTCCGGTACATCCGCTGCAGCACCAGAGGCGGCCGGTGTGTTCGCGCTGGCAATCGAGGCTAAGTAAGTGTCCGTGCTACCGCGGTGAGAGACATATACTATAGACATATAGTTTTATAACATATATAAGGTTAATGACTGTCTTAACCTATTGATGGGAAATGAGCAGGCCGGCTGCTGCAGATAATCATCTATTACTCTTAGCATATAGCGAGAATTGATTCTCACTATATCTATGATATGCGCTGACTATATATTATTACTATATATTGCAAGATTATAGTAACGAATGCTCCTCTTGAATAAGCATACATGATGATTGAAGTCACTTTATCGATTATTGCTGATAATGCTGTCGTAATCCGATTCTTGGGTGTGTTTCATTAATGAAATCTTTCTAATAAAGGTGAAATTATCATGATAAAAAATCCATTCCGGCCTTCCTCTGCGATCCTGTCTTCACGTCTGATAGACAAAGTCAAAATGACCAATTCGTAATATCCGTTATTCTTTAAATCACACTGACCTTTCCGACACATTATGTATAGAAATTATCACGCGCTATTGTTTCTACAAAGATTAACCTAGTCCGTATTCCGTGCATGAATAACGCGATTTTCTTCCCGAATTCTTAGACGGGTTAATTTCCAGGGCCGTAGCATGTGTGTATGTGTGGGGGGGGGGAGCTGCCCCCTCCTAGAATTTGGAGCAAAACTAAAATATAAGCTTAGCTAATAATCGTAAATAACCCTAACGTGATTTTTGGGTCACTTATCCGTGAAAGCCTTGTCTCAGACCTATCCCCTACCACATCATGGACGTTGGTCAAAAGCTGCGCCCGTCGCTCATCATTACACAGTCGAGTCATAAAATTTTGCCTCCCCCAGGAATTTGCTCAGCCTACGGCCCTGTATTCGCAGCATTATTGTTTTCGCGACGATAAGTGTGTTTGTTTGTGTCGCGCAGTCCGATGCTCACCTGGCGCGATATGCAGCACCTGACTGTCATGACGTCGACGCGAAACTCGCTCTACGACCACAACGATAAGTTTAAGTGGCAGATGAACGGCGTCGGACTAGAATTCAACCACCTGTTCGGCTTTGGTGTACTGGACGCCGGCGCGATGGTGTCGCTGGCGAAGCGATGGAAGACTGTACCGCCGAGGTTCCACTGTGAGGCCGGCATCATCGACACCGCGCAGTACGTATGCGATGATTTAGCCCCTCTGATATAACTGCGTAAAACGTACCCGATTTACGTATCTTCACACGTTAGCTTGAAGCGTGCATGCGTGTGTCCTGTCGGGTTTTTCGGGTAATAAGAGCGTGATGATAAGATGTGATAAGAGAGGGTTAGAGCAGGATGTGATTGACCTATACCGATTCGTTAGGCGGATTGTGCAACTTTGGCTTCGAAACTCGCTCTAGACGCTAATTAATTTGTTATTACTGCGAAATGCGGCTGCGGGAACGGTTTAGCCGCTTAGATCGCCACGGATTTGCGTGTGAACAAAGACGCAGGAAAATACTGAAGTTCAGAAGGCGTGTACACATCAATAGTTTGACGTCAGCATGAATGCGCATTGTAACGGATTCACAAGCAGTGTTTTGCTGCTGTGGACCATAAGCAGTAGATAACACGTATAGACTCATGGTAAAGAGATACACATACACACACACACACACACACACACACACACACACACACACACACACACACACACACACACGACACACACACACACACACACACACACACACACACACACACACACACACACACACACACACACACACGACACGCACACACACACACACACACACACACACACACACACACACACACCTATATAGAGAGCTGTACACCGGGTTAACATGGCGACGCGTTCACGTTCGTCGTTTACTATGCCGCGCGTGCGAATCGCATCAATCAAGCATGATTTATCTGTTTGTCATTCAACGTTCTGCTTGTCACAGCGAGCTGCTGCCCAACGACAGCATTGTCCTGCACATCGACACAGACGCCTGCGCCGGAACGGACACGGAAGTCAACTACCTGGAACACGTGCAGGCAGTCGTGACGCTGAATGCAACCCGGCGGGGTGATACTGCGCTGTATCTCGTATCGCCACTTGGCACCATGTAAGCCTCATTCTCTCGTGCATACATCTTCCCGCGCGTGTCGTAATCGATTTGCGCTTAGCGCGCAGCCACCTGCTGACGTAATGGCAGCGACATAGTAGCGCCCTCTATACGAGTGTAACTATTTCCCGCGGTCTTTTAATTGGGAATTTTCTGCCACAGGGCGGCGCAGAGAGTGTCTAATGATGCACTTACGTGTCGAATTGGAGCCTAGTGACATTTAGATGGCTCATGGCGCAGCTCGTTATAAGGCGACTCGAAGAGTCTAGAAGCATTCACTTATAGATCTCGCGCTGTATTCTCTTCCTCTGCCCCCGTACACACACACACAAACATGCGCGCGCACCCCCTCTACACAAACACACACACACCACCCATCTCTCTTCTACTCGCCCGCGCGCTCTCTCTTTTTCTCTCTCTCTCTCTCATAGACAAACGCTCTTTCTTGTTTATCTTTTTCTCGCAATGCAACCATTACTCACCTCTTGTCGTGCTCCTTCTCTAACTCTTTCTTTATCTCTCACTAACTCTCTCTCTCTGCCACACACACACACACACAGTCTCACTATCTCTCTCTCTCTCTCTCTCTGTCTGTCTCACCTCCCCTCTCTGTTTTTTCTCGCTCTCTCCCCCTTCGTTTACTCTCCCCCTCTCTCACTCTTACCCTCTCTCTCTCTTTCGTAGGTCGATGATTCTGAGCACGCGTCCGAACGACGACGATAACAACGACGGCTTCACCAAGTGGCCGTTCATGACGACGCACACGTGGGGCGAGAACCCGCGCGGCAAGTGGACGCTCATCGCACGCTTCGAGGGCGAGGAGCCGCAGCAAGGCGTCGTCAAGGAGTGGTCGCTGGTGCTGCATGGCACCAAGCAGGCGCCCTACGAGTACCAGACCGAGGTCGACCCCAACTCGAAGCTCGGCGTTGCCAAGAAGGCGCACGAGATCTACAGGAAGGAGGCTGCCTAGGTCATCGCGGCTAGCCTCTCTCGCTCGCTAGCCTCTTTCACACACCACGTGACTATATAGTTTCTCGAGCGTCGCATGGGTGTCACGAGACGTATTTGCGCGCGTTCTCGAATCACGATTGGGGAAATTGATCAAGAAATATCAGGCGTTCAGCTATTGAAAATATTTCGTACAGGAGACGAAATGGCACTACACTGCGGACTGTTATGCGGAGCCTTCATTTGAATTAAGAATTTTTTTCGGAAATCGAAACCCGCAGAAATTTGACTCGCCCCGACGCAACTGCATGCTATCAAGAAAATAGTCACGTGGTTTTTGAAACTTGCGTAACAAGCCGTTAATAAAATGTCTGTGTGATGGCGCCACTGTATCGCGGCGGGAACGTGACGCACAGGATTAAAAAATCTCGCGCAGTTTGTACAATAGCCGCACATTATGAAAACAAAGAATTTCGTTCTTTATTATCGAATACTTAACTATGAAGAAATCACGCCCTGTTTTATGTGACAAGCTGTAACACGTTAAATTAAAAATGTCGTATATATTTATCGTTACTCGCGCGTATATGAACTGTTCTACGTGCGATGAGGTTTCACTTAATATATTTACTTGCTATACGCTTATGCTCCCGATCACCAGGCTTTATCACTTTCTTCAACAACGCAGTGCACGGCCTATCGAGAAGCATTACGGCGGCTTTTTACCCCCAACTCCTTACAGCGTTACTTAAACCAGGTGTTCAGTTATTTGAGGTCGGTTCGATGTAGCCACGATGATTGTAACGAGAATCTGCGTAACTGCATCAACACTCATCGGAGACGTGTCTCTTATCGTCACATCTCGGTGACGTTTCTCGAAACGTACTTCAACACAGGCTCGATAGTGTTTCTATGATTTCTAGTTTTTCCACAAGATTTTCAGTAGATTTGGGTAATTGGTAATTTCGAGAAACGCCAGCCGGAAGTCTCCGGGTAACTTAATTGCTGGTGTAACAGCTTTACTGCTTGTGTAACGGTGATGAATTAATGAACTGTCACTTGGAATACTGATAATGGACACTGCCAGGAAAATGCCTCCTAAAGTAAAGACAATGAGGGGAATACAAGACAGGCGAATTTACTTACTGAAGAAGGTGTAGGACAGGGAACTGGATCGGTTCTTCGCGTTAAAATATTTTACCGTCTTACGTTTGTCCGATTTCCCAACCATCCATTGTAATGAAGTTACATCTCTCGCTATATATTCAAGCTAGGGTATTTGATCTACTTACGGAAGGTAAAGCGATAATAATGCTGAATTTATACGGTAGCAGGATAAGATCAGAAAAGCGGTTTGTTATCATCGTGATGTTGTCTCTAGAGGTGAATCGTAGATCCTCACACGGTGGCTAGCCGCCTGTGCGAATAAGCTGTCACTAAAACCTGCAGTCGTGTTCGGCGCATAGAAAGCGCTCGTTAATCGTCTAGCTTCTTTTTTTATTGGCGAAATTAGCCGAGACTTGTGTGACACACGGGTCGCAATCACACGCAGGTTGCTGCTGTCACTCATCTTACGGTGGCAGTCGTGTGACTACTGTAAAACGCAGGTTGGCATGACACGCGGGTTGCTGTGACACAGGTTGCCATTACCCTAATGCTGTGGTTACACCGAGGTCACTGTGACATGGAGGTTTTTGTGACATACAGATTGCTGTGTCATTCAGGTGACTCTGACATGCAGGTTGGCATAGTAGCGTGTCGATGTGTGTAGCCTTCTGACCGCCGTAGCATGCGAGTGTGCGTGATATATACCGGCTGGTATAGTTACTTGGTGCAAGTGCTATGCTATTGGGTGTGGTTACTTGCTGAACGTGGTATGCCGGTTGGTGGGGTTTATTGCTGACCTTTGTGAGCTGGTGGGTGTGGTTCTCTGCTGAACGTAGTATGCTGATTAGCGTAGATCATCTACCGATGACTATCGCTGCAATGGAATCCGGGGTTTACCCAGACACCGATATTGCAACGTTTACCTCTGACATGAGCAAATGGTACGTCATCGGTGCGTAAAATAAACGGCGGGTGACCATTTGCTGTTCCATCAGCACCTGAGAGCTTAAAAAGGATGACGCAGATAGAAGTCAAATTAGGTGAACTCTCCGCTGATCATGCACGATGAATTCGCAAGATACGGAATAACGTGCTTGATTTTGCTAAGTTAAAATTTTTGCTTAAATACATATGGTATAATGAATTGAATGTGATTTACCTAATTCATGGCTTATTACAAATATTTTACAGCTCATCATCGGAGATGATCTGCCAATAATTTGAGAGAATTCCTCATTTATTAAGTTTGTTACACAAAATCTGTTAAACATTACCACGTAATAAATGTAAGAGAGGCAGTCTAGTTTTCTGGTTGGTCATTAACTTCTATCTAGAAAGCATATTTTCACATTTGATGCAAGTTTCAATAATTTTAGTAATATAATAATATTTAGTGTTTTCAATAATTTCAGTGTTTTATATAACAAATTTCATATTCATAATCTTATACCAACTGCAACTAAAATACATTATTATCATCATCATCATCATCATCATCATTTTTTGGAATGCATGCTACAAAATCACACTGCTGGTGGAAGGATATTAATTTTCTCCTATATTCGGAAACGCACATGCACACACACACACACACACACACACACACACACACACACACACACACACACACACACACACACACACACACACACACACACACACACACACACACACACACACACACAA